AAAAAAAAAAAAAAAGTGTCCCAGCCAGCTCAAGTTTTGATAGGTCTTTATCATGTACCCATTATGTCCCAGGCATTGCTTTAGAAATGCTAGGCTGTGAACAGACCAAACCAAATCCCTGTATTCGTTTAAGAAAAACATGGAGTAGTAGATACCGGCTCAGAAGGAAAAAATAAAGCAGAAAAGGGAGGAGATGAACTTAGGATTGGAAGGTTGAAACTTTAGATAAAGTGGCCAGGGAAGATCTCACTGGTTAATAACTTTTGGGTGAAGACCAAGGAAAAGTGAGGAAGCTAGTTGTGGACTATCTGAGGAAAGAACATTCTTGGCAGCAGGAGTAGAAAGTGCAAAGGCTCTGAGATACTTGGCATACTCAAAGGTTACTAAGTACTGAGGATGGATTGGCGCAGATAAGGAGGAAAGTAGTAAGAGAATGCAGTGGTAGTGACGGCTCTACAAATCGTTTTTTTGGGGGATCATAGGAAACTGTAATGTACGCTAACCCTGCATGTGCAGAGATACACGTAACCCAGTAAACCCAGCAAGGCCGGAAATGTTAAACTCCTGCAACACAGTTTTTGCTCTGGCAACATGAACAATGAATAAGAGGAAATTTATATGTAAGCTTTGTATATAAGGTTGTAGGAAATAGTGAACCATTGGAAATTTTAAAGATAATTTACAAATGCAGACTGTTTGGAGAAGCTGGAATAGAGATATAATGCTAGAGAAGCAGATTGTGGAGTGCTAGTTTGAAGATTTTGTACTTACTGTCATAGATAAAGTATATACGTTATCACTTCTCTGATTCTTTCATTTATTGTGAACATAATAAATCTAATTTACCTGTGAACTGGACCTCTGTTGTCCAGAGCCTTCAGAGGGTTACTCTTCTTTCCATCTCTCAATAAAGTTAAGGTTTTGTTAATTTACTTTTTGCAGGTACAGTATTTGAGTACCTATAAGCACCTTTTATTGGTTAGATTCTGCTTTCACAGCTGTTTTAGTGAGTTCCCTGAGGCTTATGGAATGACTTCCCTCCACCCCTATGATTTTGTTTTCTTTTGAATTTTCGTTTTATCAGCTTGTAGATATTCCACACATAATAATCAGTTAGTAATTATCCAGAATATCTGTTGAAATAGTCAAATTAGTACCATATTGTTATTGTTTCCATGGCTATTTTAGCCATTAGAGTGTAAATTCTTATTGTGCAAATTCCAGATATACACATCCTCTTTTGATATTGCTGTGTGTTTGCATAATATAGTCTTGGCTTAATAGAATGAAGCTAATTCAACATTAGCTACATAGATAATTGTGGTTTCATTTCTTAGTATCCTAAAATACAACAGAGCTAGAATATTTTTGCTATGTAGTTACATATTAAGAATAAAAAAAAAATTCACATTTTAAGTGAGTCACAACCTAATATTACTCTCCATTAAAAAATATATATATCATGCACAGCTCTGGGTGTCATATCTCATCTGGTGACAGTAATACAGGAAAATGGCTGTAGCTTCCATACTTGGTGTACTTTGGAGGTGGGAGAGCTACTTTTTAGTAGACTTGATTTAAAATCATTTTAATGGTTCTTTTGAGTTTCCATTCAAATGATAGGACGTATATGAAAAAATATTTTAAAATGCAGTAATACTTACAAAATGAATTTAGATTTTATTAATGGGACATTCAAAATGACAAATTCTAATGGTATTCTCAAATGGAACAACTTTTAAAATATTTACTAATACGTCCAAATACAAATGATCTTTTCAAGCATTTTACATAATTTTTATGAATAGCAGATATCAAAATGTGTAATACATTTATATGTATCAATATGAAAAGATTCCCTTAGTATATATTAAGCTCAAACAAGTTGCATAGCAGTATGCACATATTATTTCACTTTTGTAAAACTATCTGTATATACACATGTACTTCCAGAATATGTAGGGGAAAAAACCTGACTTACTCCAGACTTTTAAAAGTATTCCTGCTATCTCCATTCTTGTGGTGCTGTTCTTACATGAAGTTACTTGTTTAGTTTTAGACAACGCATTCATTTAGGAGGCTCTGAACCTGTATGGAAAGGTTCTCTTTTGGGGAATGTGAGAAAGATGGCTGACCTTCTCTGATTCTGACTATGACTGAATGTGTTCAGTTTTGGAGATCAGAAATTG